CCAAAGGGAAGGAGGAGGTTGGAAAAGCTGACTTGCCAAACCACATACGTCTTAAAGGGCTTTGAGGGAATATTATTCACGTGATACTTGTCATGGCGCGAGTGGGTCTGGAAAAATACACTCGGTGCTATCTGGCCAGAACTTCAAAGCGGCCCAGAGGACGCCCCAGGGGGCGCCCCAGAAGCGCAAAAGGGCGAAAAGATAAGGAGGGCGCCGCAGGAGGCGAGAAGGGGCAAAAACGCCCAAAAGCCTACGACAAGAAGATTGACATGAAAGAAACGGGACCTGAGGGAAACGAATCCTGAATACTGGAGCCTTCCCCCAGGACCAGCTCTTCATCCCCCGTCGTTTCTTGACGATACCGGGGCCTGTGAAGGGCCCCAGGAGCCCGAAGACAGCGCAGAGCTCCCAGGACGCGCTTCCCTCGGGTCCCCGTTCCTTCATGACTAGGGGAGGTCTGGGGCACGATGCCGCCGCCCGGAGCCCCGCCCCACAGAGCCTGTCAGCGAACGCTGGCGGGCCCCACTGGCAGGCGCCATGCATCCAGTTCTGCCAGGCGGCGGCGGCAACCGCGGCCGCCGCGGGGCCTCCGCCGAGGAGGGGGGCCACTAGCTCTGGACCGCCGCGGCCGAGCCAGGATCAGCCAGCGGATCGGAAAGATCATCGAATCAAGCTGTATCGGTCTGGAGCCGAGGTCGAAGCGAGTCGGCTGCACCAGGGTGCAGCCGACTACGCTGCGCGAGCGTCAGGCCATCGAGCAGATCGAGAAGGGGCCCTGCCGAGGCACGCGCAGACGAGACGAGACACCCAGAGCTCCGACGCAGCGGATTCTCTTTCCTGGCACGGAGACCGCGGCACCGCGACGCGGCAAGACGAGATCCACGGGTCCGCAGCGCTCGGGACAGCCCGAGGAGGCGAGCAAGGCAGGGATCTCGGAGGGACGCGTGGAGAGGAAGGGCAGGCGCGGAGCCCTCGGCCCCAATCCCGAGGGAGAGCTCTTCGTCCGGAGGGAGCTTCTTCTCGTCCCTGGGCACAAAGTGGCCCTGGGGCCCGAGGCCCCTGCGACGTCCCGAGTCTTGCTCGTGACGCTGGAGGCCTGGAAGACCCCAGTGGCTCTCCCCCGCCAGCTGCTCTGTTCCCAGAACTGGCACCTGCTCCCGTGCGAGATCGGACGTCTCCCCGAGATTCGTCCTCTTGACCTCCCTGCTCTTCCTCCTCCTCCTCCTCCTCCTCCTCCTCCTCCTCCTCCTCCTCCTCCTCCTCCTCTTCCTCCTCCTCCTCCTCCTCCTCCTCCTCCTCATCCTCCTCCTCCTCCTCCTCCTGCCCCTCTTCGTCAGCATCAGCATCAGCATCAGCGTCTGCGTCAGCGTCAGCGTCAGCATCAGCATCAGCATCAGCATCAGCATCGGCATCAGCATCGGCATCAGCATCATCATGACCCCTCCGAGAGCCTCCCAAAACCAACCGAGCACCTCCGCAAACCCCCGAGAACCCCCTCCTCAGTTTGAACCCCCGAAAACCTCCGGGACTCCCCGAGAGCCCCTGGGAGCCCGCGAGAGCCTCCGAGCCCCCTCGAAACCCCGCCGCAACCGCAATCGCCTCCTCCACCAAGCCCGCCGCCACCCAGCCCGCAGCCGCCATCCCCTCCACGACCCCGAGGGCGCGGGGATCTTCGACGATGCGGTGGGGGGGAGAGGCGCGCTGGGGCGAGCCTGGATCGGGCCAGGAAGGCCGAGGGGCGGCCGTCTCGGAGAGCCTCCGGAGGGCAGCGGGGCCATGACCCGCTGACACCCAAAGAACCACAGAGAAGGCCCCAGAAGAGCTCCCGAGAGCCCCCGAGAACCGTCGAGGGCCTCCGAAAATCCCCGAAGATCTCTAAAAGTGTCAGCTCAGGCCTCTATGCCGACGGGGGGGCGACCACGCAGTGCACGGGCGGATAAAATACAGCGCGACAAATTGGACTGAACACATAACCGTGCGCCAGGCGGGGCATTAGCTAATCGTGGTCAGTGGACGTCCTCGAACGAACAAGGTTGAAACCACGAAAATGAGTCCTCTCATTTCAGGGTCCCGACGGATCATCTCGAAACAATCCTGAAGACCTTTGGAAAGCCGTGGAAAACCATGGTCCCCCCCTGAAAATACAATACTGTGTCGTGGGGCCAGCAGGCGCGAACCACGCAGACGCGAATTAGGCCCCCGGCAGAGAGACGCGAAGCGAAGGAAGAAGCAGTCGCCGCACAAGCAGGGGGAGACGACAGTCCCCCCCCCCACGAAAACCATCAAACTCCTCTGATCATCTTGGACAGTACCGCTGGGACCCCTCCTCGGAAAGCCCAACATCTGAAAACCCGCCTCCACCACTCATCGAGAGGTCACAAACATCTCAGGCAGCGGGATCCAACTGGGGCCGCTTGCGCTCCCACGAAGGTCCGGCTCGGACCGCTTGCGCTCCTTCTGCTCGCAGGGCCAGCCTCACGCCGCTCTCGTTCACGCCGTGGCTTTTCCATTGCCGTCGCTTTCCTGGGCTTCTCCGTTTGCGTCCGAAAGCCCTCCCCCCCCCAGAGGGCAAAGAGTCCGCCCCCATAGTAACCACCCCGACACGCGAAGCCGTTTACTAAATGCCCCCCCTGAAGGAATCGAACAGGGCAGGGCTGTTTAGTAAACGCCCACGGCCGTTTAGTAAACGTCAATTGTCCGGTCTGGGTGGTTTGTCCTCCCTGGACAGAGACCGCCGAGAAACCCGCCAGAGGCGACCCCCGAAACCCTCCGAGGCCCGCCGAGGAGCGGCGGCGCCGCCCCCCCCGCGGCCGCCGCCGCCGTCATCGGTCGGTCGTCTTCGTCGATCGTCGTCGTCGCCGTCCGTTGTCGGCGCCGTCACTGCAGCCGTCATCGGTCGTTGCCGCCGTCGCTCGCCCCCGCCGTCGTCCCAGGCAATCGCCGTCGTCGTCGATCGTCGGTCGCCAGTCGCCAATCGTCGTCGGTCGTCGCAGGCCGGCTGAGCGCGCGGCTGGCGCCGCCGCCCCAGCCCCCAGGCAGCAGCGGGGGGGCGTCCACGCCGTAGCCCGCGCCGCCCCAATGGCCGCCTCGCCCCCGTAGCGGGCGGGGCGAGAGGACGAGAGAACGCTTACGGCAGATTCGTGTCGTGACGACTTCGGTACCGGTTTGTGGCATCGCTCGGCTCGTTCAACCGCGAAAAATCGCGGATTTCCGACAGAGCAGGTGGTGCTGTGTTAGCCGATTCGAGGTAACCGGCGGCGTTCAACCTTGAATGCTGGGGCCGCCGCCGCGTCCACACGACACGAACCAGCCGTCGCCAGCAACGGCACATTCGGGTTCGGCAGAGTCCCGCGCGAGCCTTTTGCCATGATCTCCAACGCGAACAACAGCCCGCGAGCACAAATCATCATGATCGTAAGCATCATCACCACTGCAAACATTGTCATCATAATCGCAATCGTCTTTCATATCATGGTCATGGTCCTAATGACCGTGATTGTCATCATCGTCATCATCATCATCATCAGAAACAGCAGCAGCACCAGCATCATCAGCATCAGCATCATCAACATCATCCTCATTATCATCAACATCGTCGTCGTCATCATCACCGCCACCATCATCATCATCATCACCACCATCAATATCGTCTTCATCATCACCACCACCATCATCATCATCATCAGCAGCATCATCGAAGACCGAGCAAAAGGCTGCAGAAATAATGCTAATATTGTCGTGATCGTCGTCGGCGGCGATCGGGGGCGGCCGAAGATCGAGGATGCCGAGGTTCTCTAGTGCATTTGGGCGTGCTTGCAAGGGCGATATGGGCCGATCCTGCTCTGGGGCGCGGGGGGACTGGTAGGCAGGCAGTTGTTGGTAGGAGATGGTGGTGGTAGGTCACCTAACTCCCCGCGCCTCGCCGCGCAAAGCGCAAAACGCGCTCATCTTCGCGCCCTCGCAAGGCCACTCTGGAGGAGGGCAGCTCTCCGGCAAAGATCGCGGAGCGCACAGCGCGATCCTTTCAGCGCACCTGTGGGCGACCCAAGAGCATCGAGGTTTGGGAGGTTTCGGGCGAGAAATTGAACGTTTGGGAGCTTTGGCGACCATGGTGACGGGGAGGAGAATGGGCAAGGGGACAGGGGTGCGGATGACGAGGGGGATGAGAATCCGCATGCGGAGATGGATAGGGCGGAGGCGAGTGAATCGGAGGGGAGGGGATCAGCAACTGAGAAGACGGGGTATATGATAAGGTGTATGGGTAATTATAGATGGGGGAGGGGAGGAAAAGGACCGAGTCTTGATTTGGAAAGGCAACGTGCAACGAGGAGCAAAATCTAAGGCATCGAGGACTCATGATACAGTCCTCGTGCTACCATGAGGAACGCCGAATGAGGAACCCACAGATGGTCCGTATTTCAGCGTCGTCACTGCAAGGACGCAAGACAAGGTTGCAAGACTCTTGGACGCCCCCGTGGAGCGCGTGGCAGGAAGACCAAACGACAGGGCGGGCAAAGCAAAGAGGCAAGGACGGTCCTGCTGAAGCGCTCCGATTGTAACGTGCAGCTACCAGCCTCAAAGTCGCGCGTGCGATCTAGCTGCCTGAGCTCAAGGCTCAAGCTGGAAGGAAGGACCGATCTCTTGCTGGGCCACCCTCCAGGACGCCTTCGGCCAGCGATCGTTGCACAGGGGAAAGCATGGAAGGCGATCCACACGGTGAGGCAAACTGGGGCATCCGCCGCTGAGCCACGGCTGCTGCCACTGCTCCCAGGCACAATCTCGTAGGACGGGCGCATCCTGCTCATCCTTCTCGTGCTACATCCCCTCTTCATCCCTCCACCTCCACATCCACCTACACATCCGCATCATTATCCTCACTGTCTTCCTCCTCCTCTTCTTGATCTTTCTCCTGCTCCTCCTCCTCCTCCTCCACCTCCTCCACCTCCTCTTCCTCCTCCTGCACCTCCTCTACCTCCTCCCCCTCCAACTCCCCCGCAAACCTTCTGCCTCCGCATCCGCCTCCTCATCCTCCTCCTCCTCCTCCTCGTCCTCCTCCTCCTCCTGCTCCTGCTCCTCCTCCTCCTCCTCCTCCTTCCCCTCCTCTTCCTCCTCCTCCCCCCCTTCCTCCCCCTCCTCCTCCTCCTCCTCCTCCTCCTCCTCCTCCTCCTCCTCCTCCTCCCCCTCCTCTCCTCGTCCTCCTCCTCCTCCTCCTCCTCCTCCTCCTCCTCCTCCTCCTCCTCCTCCCTCCTTCTCCTCTTCCTCCTCTTCCTCCTCCTCCTCCTCCTCCTCCTCCTCCTCCTCCTCCTGCTCCCCCTCCTCCCCCTCACCCTCCATCATGTCGAGGAAGGACAGAGGGTGCCGAAGACAACAGCGGGGGGGAAGCACTCTTATCGACTACCCTGCTTCCATATCTCTCCTAGGGGCCAGCAGTACTGCGAAGTGTTCTGGACACGCGCCCCCCCCCCAAGAGCTCCACCACCACCAACACCACCTTCGTCCCACTTGTTCCTCGTCATCCGCCTCTTCATCTTCCCCCTCCTCTTCTCATCATCGCGTCATCAACATAATCAACAATAACCACATCAGCAGTAACAGCAGCAGTACCAGCATCAGCATCATCAGCCGCATCAGCCTCATCATCAGCATCATCACCACCACCACCACCACCACCACCATCATCATCATCATCATCATCATCATCATCATCATCATCATCATCATCACCACCACCATACTCATCAGCATCAGCATCAGCATCTGCATCATCCTCACCAGCATCGTCCCTACCATCAGCAACATCGTCAGCAACATCACCATCATCATCATAATCAGCAGCAGCACTAGTATTATCATCATCATCATCATCATCATCATCATCATCATCATCATCATCATCCTCCTCATCCCCCTCCTCTTCCTCCTCCTCATCATCATCATCATCATCATCATCATCATCATCATCATCATCGTCGTCAGCATCATCATCAGCATCATCATCAGCATCATCATCATCATCATCATCATCATCAGTATCATCATCATCGTCATCATCTTCAGCAGCATCATCATCGTCAGCATCATCATAATAATCATCATCATCAGCATCAGTTTCATCATCATCATCGTCATCAGCATCGTCATCATCATAATCCTCATCATCATCATCATCATCACCATCGTCATTATCAGCAGCATCATCAGCAGCATCAGCATCAGTATCATCATCATCAGCATCGTCATCAACCTCATCATCCTCAGCAGCATCAGTAGCAGCATCAGCACCAACATCAGCATCATCATCAGCATCACCATCCGTACCATCATCATCATCATCAGCAGCAGCAGCAGCCGAATCATCACCCTCATCTCATAATCATCAACAGCTGCAGCATCAGCAGCATCAGCATAATCATCAACATCAGCATCAGCCTCACCATCATCACCATCATCATCCTCATCATCAGCAGCATCATCATAAGCATCATCAGCATCATCAGCCTGATCATCATCATAATCAGCATCAGCATCATCATCATCGTCGTCATGATCGTCGTAATCATTAGCATCATCAGCATTATCAGCAGCATGATCATCATCATTGTCGTCGTCGCCGTCATCATCAACAGCATCATCAGTATCATCAGCATCAATCATCAGCATCAGCATCATCATCAGCATCCTCATCATAATCAGAATCATCATAAGCATCATCGTCATCAGTATCATCATCATCAGCATCATCATCATCACCAGAATCATTCCTCTCATCTAGCTGCCGATCCTCATCGGTGGTTTCGTCCGCCTTCACCTCCTCATCCCCCTCCTCCTCCTCCGCCTCCTCCTCTGCATCATCATCATCATCATCATCATCAATACCGCCATCACCATCATCATCATCAGCAGCAGCATCATCAGCAGCATCAGCATCATCATCATCAGCATCATCATCATCGTCATGATCCTCATCCTGATTATCATCATCATCATCATCATCAGCAGCTGCATCGACATCAGCATCAGCATCAGCAGTATCACCATCATCCTCATCATCATCAGCAGCAGCATCATCATCATCATCCGCATCATCATCGTCATCGTCATCGTAATCGTCATCATCATCGGCACCCTCATCCTCGTCATCACCTTCATCATCATCAGTACCATCAGCATCATCTTCATTATCATCATCAGCATTACCATCATTACCATCATCATCATCATCAGCAGCAGCATCATCATCATCAGCCTCGTCATCATCATCATCATCATCACCACCATCATCATCATCATCATCATCATCATCATCATCATCATCATCATCATCATCACCAATCACTATCATCACTGTTCTCCTCCTCCTCATTCCCCTACTCCTCCTACTCATGCTCCTCTCGTTCCCAGAAAGGCCCCTTGTCGAGCTCCTGAACCAACGTCTTCCTCAACACCTTCGTCCCGCAAGGTTGCTGGAGAAAACCTCTGCCGGCAACGGGCCAACGACCTCCGTGTCAGATGCTGAGTTCCTCCTCGTCAACCTCCTGTTTCGCCCCTCACTTTCTTTCTTTCATATACGAGCTCCTCGTGGGAACAACCAAGGGCCGTTAAGCCCGATCAAGAGGAGGTTCAGCGAGATCAAGCCAGATTAAGCCCCGAATATAGCCAAACTCAGCGGGAATAAAGCCCGATTAGACGGGATTGATCCGGAGAAGGACGGTTTGGGAACCAGCGCCGATGCTGAATGAACCTCCCAGGAGTTGCAACCGAGTTTCATGAAGCTCAGGAAATCTAGGTTTAAGATTTTGCTGTCTTGAATCACAAATTTCCCGTGCGACAGCCTCCATCCTTGAAGACTGTGCATCATAGGCGGACACGTACTACGAGCTGCTCGAGAATCTCACCTCTCGCTGATAATTCCCCTGGTATCTCATCTTTGATCTTCCTCACTTCCCCGGCCTGGAGCACCGCCACCGTCGTCGCAATGGCTGCCCTCGGCCTTCATCGCGAGGCTTCGCCCTGCTGCGGCCCCATCTGTGGCTATGCGCTCGCGCGCGCGGGGGGGAAACGGCCGATCAGGTCAGAGCCGCGGTGCTAGAGAGAGCACCGACCATCAAGACGAAGGCATGATGAAGATAAATCTGGCCTGAGATAAGTTGGGAATCTCTGAGAACTGGCGGGACTGGAATCGCGGTCCAGACTCCAAGGCCTGTACCGGCGGGGTCGCGAATCCACGGGATCGCGCGTCGGTGTCCAGACCGCCGGGGCTTGGATATAGATGCGTTCGTCGCTCGTGAACAATCGGGACAGATGAGTAGGACAAAGGAAAAGCAGCAACGGCACCACCATCGTCATCGGGCAGAGGAAGATCCTCGTGGAGGTGTGGTAACGCTTCTTTTCAGTGCACCTCTCGAGGCATCTCCAGTCTCGCCATCGTGGACCTCTTCGCCGTGGGCGGCCCTGCTGGTGGTCCTGGTGACACTTCTGCATACCTCCGATGAGGAAGACTTCGACGCCGCTAGCAGATCGTGGCCGCGCTGCAAAAAAAGTCCCCGATGGGGAAGACGCGGAAATGGCCTTACTCATGCACCGTTTCTGGCGCGGCTGTCCCTTCCAGCGGCGCCGCCATCCCCCTCTCCAAACTGCCACGCTCCTGGCAATGCGGAACCAAACACGACACGTCACGTAGCAACAAAAAAGCAAGGCGGCGACACAAATACTGTAGTCGAGCAAGCGGACGCAGCTCAATCAGAATACACCAGGTGGTCCACAGTGACCACGCCACAAGCGTGAGAGAAACCAACAACACCTATTGACGGGAGAACCTGAAGACTGCGGAAATGTGCCCCAACGGTTTTTGTCCGTTCATCACGTCGACCAAAGGAGTCACAGCCGAGAGGATAATATTGTTGCTTCAGCCTCTGAAGGGCCTGTCTGATTTTCTCCTGCCCCATTACCCCAGTGGGATGGGGTCAGCACGAAACAAAGAGAAAGGAGAGGCACGCACCCCTCGTCTCCGGGAAGCTCCTTCCCTCCTCGTCCTCCGCCTCCTCCATTCTCTTCCTCCTCCTCCTCCGCCTCCGCCTCCTCCGCCTCCTACTCCACCTCCTCCTCCTCCTCCTCCTCCTCCTCCTCCTCCTCCTCCTCCTCATCATCATCATCATCATCATCATCATCATCATCATCATCATCATCATCACTAGCAGCAGCAGCAGCAGCACCATCATCATCATCATCATCATCATCATCATCATCATCATCATCATCATCATCATCATCATCATCATCATCATCATCATCATCATCATCATCATCATCATCATCATCATCATCATCATCATCATCATCATCATCATCATCATCATCATCATCATCATCATCATCATCATCATCATCATCATCATCATCCTCCTCCTCCTCCTCCTCCTCCTCCTCCTCCTCCTCCTCCTCCTCCTCTCCGCATCACAATACGCATCACAATCCTCCTAACCTCCTCCCAATTTCATCGAAATCATTTGGCAGGCTGCGGGGGAGTGCCGCCCGTCTCCTGGAGCACGGAGCCATGGCTCGGTGCAGCTCGCGCAGAGGAAGCAGGAGGGGCTGCAGGATATCAGGCTGGGTAGGTCACCTAACTTTGCGCTTAGCGCCGCGCGAACAGCGAACCCTCAGAGATCAGGGCGTCGCTGAAACACGACGGCGGACTCCCCCGGTTTCAAGGCCCAGAACCCTCACGCGGATCGGTCCATCTCGAGAGGTGCTGCAGGGAGATGGGGTCTGGAGCTCCAGCGGCAATTTCTCGCGACCCCGCTGGCACTCGCCCAGCACACGCGAAGGCAGCTGTGGATGCCATCCGCTTCGCAGACTCAGGCCGCGTCGGTGCAGAAATCACCGGGCAGCGCGCCTTTGGGACCCCGCCGCGAGCTTTTGCTTGAAGGGCTCGGCAGGCTTCTGCTAACACACTGTGTTGAGAGCGAGAGGGATTTTAAGAAGCCACCTGCCGTCATGGAAGGCCGCCCCCTCACCCCGGCCCCTTCTGCGCGCCGCCGGGCCGCTCTTCCCCCCACACCGCTGGCATCATGAGTCGACCAGGCCAGCCAGTTCTTAGAACTTGGGCCCCACGAGCCCCGCTGGTGGCCGGGAGGGGGGGCCACAAGAGCGACCCACGGCGGGAGGTCCGCGAGCACGCTGGGGCCGAAGACTCTGGAGCCACACGACATGCCAAACGTGGCTCCTGTGGCACGGGTCCTGCCATGCGCATGCCCGCTCGGGAGCAGGTCGTCGGGACGTGCGACCAGGACCGCCGGGGCAGAGAGCTGGCACGGACAAGCAGGAGCACGCCACGAGCAAGGAGCCGTCGGGAAGATGCCCACCTCAGCAGGCTTGGGGCGATCGGTCGACCCTCGAACCTCGAACCTCGACCGATCCTCGAAACCCGAAACCAGATCGGGCGATCGACCATCCGCTGGCGGCTCGTCGGAGCTGTCGCTCTCTGCTAGCAGATCGGGCAGCGGGTCCACGAGGTCGGCGTTTTCGTGTTGCTTTCGTTTTCCTTCGTTCTGTCTTCGTTCTGCCTTTGCTGCGACAAAAGATCAAGACGAAAACGGTCCACTCAATCACCGAAACACCGTTTAGCTTGAGCCCTGTACCATCTTTGGGACCCCGTCACCCGGGACCTGCTCTCACGGGACACCTCGCGCCGGACCCCTCCCACCCCCCTGCGCGTCGCGCAGCGCGACCTGGCTCCCGATCCGTCGGCCGTGCAGCGGCAGGCCTCTGGGCCACCGAACCAGCGGGCAGGACCACAGACGGAATCGAGAGAATGAACGACCGAGGGGGGAGGCGCGGATGGGGGGAGGCCTGCCAGAGGAGGCGGAGGAGGAGGAGGCGGCGAATCTCTGACAGTGCGGTGGATCTTTGAGGACGTGCTGGGCGCCGCGGCCTCTCTGGGAGCGCCCTGGAGCAGCTGTTCGACTGGGGGATCGCCTACAGAATTGATTTACCCCAAAATTGATTTTCACGTCGATTCATCAACAAAAATACGTCAACCATTCGTAGATCTTCGCAAGTTCTACGAATTGCCCAAGGAGTCGACAAGAAAAATCAGTTCTGGGGCAAATCAATTCTATAGTCGATCCCCTACTCGAGCTATGTGTGTGTGACCAGGCTCTCTGGAACGAGCTGCGCCTGGAGTTCCTTCGCTGCCCTCCGCCGGCTCCCAGAGGGGCCGCGGCTGGGAGCCAGCTGGTCTCGTGCGGCAGCTCCGAGGGCTCTGCCTCCGAGAGCCCCGCGGCAGAGACGCCAGTGGGAGCCATCGACGGGCTCGCAGAATACCTCCGTGTTCTGGGGAGCTGCGGCGCCGATCGCGCTGAGAATGTGAGCCTGCCTCAGAACTGCATCCGAGAGGCGAGCATCTCCGGGCTCCTCGCGCCCGCTGGGCCCCACGTCGAAGCAGCCTCGCCCAGACCTGGCGTCGCGTGTCCTGTCCTAGCGTGAGCAATTAGAAGGACTGCCCATTCTCTCCGACACCCCTTCCTATGCAGGATCACTCGGCATCGAATCGGGAAATCGGATGGAATCGGAAAGTGCGTCGGATCGGGCTGCGTCGGCACGGAGATCGAATCGAGCCAGCCAGATTCGGTATCTAGTCAGATCGATCATATCGAACTGGACCCAGCACTGTCTTTCCTCCAACGTCCTTGTGAGAGAAACCCCCGCCGTCGAACGCCCCTGGTGATCGGAAACGCTCTTCACAAGCGGACAGTCGCAATAATGAAAGTTGACTTCCTTCCGCAAGAAGACCTGAAACTCCGTGGAGCATCGCGTTGCACGGGCAGGAAGACCTCACGAATGCTGGGAAACGCTGCAAGGCGTGGCAATCGTATTAACACCGCTTGTTCGCCCCTGAAGCGCTACAGGGTGCAGGACAGTAAAAGCTGACAGAATTTGCGCGTTGCCACCGGCTCTTTTTGTTTTTCACGCCCAGTTGCCATTCGGGCCTTTGTTCCCTCTTGCGCTGAGCCAGGCCCCACCTCCTCCGTCCTTCAATATCCCTCATTGTGATCTCGCCTCATCACCACCTACCTCCCTACCCTGTGTTGTCGTCATCGTTATCATCACCTCCTTACCACGCGTCGTCTGCATCACCGTTAACGCCACCATCATCATTGCACGCAGCTTTCTGCCCAGCGCAATGGGGTCATGCTGGGCGCTGGCCGTCTCTTGGCCACTAATTACGAGGACTCCCACCCACACCTTGGGACTAGGCCGCAATGAGGGCGCCCGCAGAAGATGGTCGGGAGCCCAACGAGACCAAAAAGACTATGCCCACACACTCTTGCCAGACCGTCATGGGCCATCCCTCACGAGGAGTCCTACCCTTATCTGGGGCCACAACCCGACCATAACGAGGGCGCCTGCATCATGCGGCTGACCACATCTGGCCACCCTTTACACATTTCAGGCCCCATCGGGGGACCCAACTGGGCCCCAGCGATGGCGCGTTTATCAGATTGTGGCCAGCTTGTCTTGAGCCACTCCCACGCCTTCCGTACCCCGCAGGGAGGCTCCAACCAGGCCCCAGCTTGGGTGCCCCTACGACGTGGCCAGACGGCTATTGTCCATCCCACACGCATTTCGAAACTCCAGAGGTTAAGCCAGGCTCCAGCGTGGGCGCCCTCATACTGCCCAAACAACACGCGTGTCGAAAGTCAGAAAAACGCCACAGCTACGGCCCATCGAGGACTTCAAACTGCGACTGGACCGTCGTGGGCCACCCCTCATAGATTCCATGCCCCAGTGGAGGACAGCCTACTCTCGCGACCATGCGGCCAGGCGACAGTGGGGTCACAAGATCGGAATGTGATGAGAGTCACTACCCGGGTCACGAGATCGCGCTGCAATGGCGACCGCGCCCCTCGCGGCCGCACGCGGGGCCACGGTGTCACGACGCCCTCGACGACCCTGGGCCAAGAGATCGGGTTTCGACGGCCGTCCCCTCGTGGCCAC